GCTGTTTAGTCTGAGAGAAGGAAGTAGGTCTGCCCACCAGCATCTGTCCACCAGTAAGGGTACATGGTTCCCACGGAGGTGGGAGAGCACAGAACAGGGCAGGCAGCAGCCATGGCTGCTGGTGGGGATGTGCACTATCCCCTCCTGTCCACTGAGAGCAGTGGGAAGGCTGGTGTTGCCCTTTGAAAAGAAATTCCTTTGCTGCAGCACAAAACACAACACAAAACACGTGAAGCGGCTGGCTAGAGGACATTGCGCTGCTCTGCTTGATCCCAGAGCATTGAAGGGGCTCTTGCTGGGTCAGAGCAATAACACAGGGACAACAAATCAACCATATGCTTGTACAAGCGGTGGCAAATAGCAGTGCAGGAGGCAGCAGCCCTTCTAAGCCTTCAAAGCATCCCTGGCCTTGCAAGAGATCATGGCACCCAAGTAATCCCTGCCAGTTCCCATGTGACAGAAATGGCGCCTCTGTAACCATGAGCTGAATTCCACTGCAGCACCACCACACCTTTATTTTTTTTAGATGAAAATCACACTCCATTTGCTCTCCTGCCCGACATCATAGCTGGCACTTTGGTGCCTGATCCCCTTCCCCTAGGGATGAGCAGGAATAGCCCAGCGAATGGCACCCAAGAAGCTCAGTAGGCAGCCAGCATGAAGCCCCAGGAGCTCATCTGTCTGATGAAATCATCTCACAGTGTGAAGATCCTTGCAGCTGAAATTGAAAAGTTCTTTATTTCTCCTCTAAAGGGAAAACCAGCTCACTGTGGAGGCTGTTTGTCCTTTGGGGTAGGAATCTCACTCTTTCCAGGTTTCGTGTCTCTGTGCGCTGCTTGGGAGCACTGAGATGCTCTCTCTGGCAGGCAGGATGGATGGAGCAATGCTGATGCTCTCCTCCCACAGCCTCCCTCTGCCAGGGCAGGTACACCGAGGGGCAGTGGACAGGCAGCAGCTTGAGCTGGTCGTCTCCACATGACGTGTTTTCCTGAGGTTCATTACAGTGCTGTTAAAAGCTCTTCCTCTGCTGCAGTCAGTTAGCATGCAGAGCCTGCTTCTGCATCCTAATGTCCTCAGGCACTGAGCCTCCTTGAGAGGAGGCGCAGTTTGAGATGTCCCGCACCCTCCCAGACAGCCAGGGACATCAATCTTCATTACCAAAAGGGATTGTGAAGCTTGTACTTGTCCCTTGGGTGCTCCAATGGGACTTTCCTCTGCTGGAGTCACCATGCCTCCTGCAAGGGTGCTGCTGGGCTCTGCGAGGCTCTGCAGCTCACCAAGGGTTTTTTCCATGGGAATGCTCATCCTGCTCATTCCAGCTGGGACGTGAGACCAATTTAAAATCACCCAGGGAATATTTTTAACACTCTTCTCATTCCGTACTGCCACTTCACTTATTCACTTATTAAGGGTGGACTATTTCCAAACATTGCCTTCATGGGAAAAAAAAGCAGCCACTGAGTTGGGCCAGTGGTTGGTGATTTGCCACATCCCACCCAGAGAGGGCATTTGGAAGGTTTCTGTGAGTGTTAAACCAGCTCCTCTCCTAAAGAAAGTATCTCAGAGCAGGTGGGAGCTGAAGAAGCTGCCCAGAGCCAGTCTTCGCTCCATGCCAGCAGAACTCCTCTTCCAATACTCAGAGACTCATTTGGAAACTTGTCTTAGCAAAAATATGACTCAGATGAAGCTGATACTGCACAGGCTGGTTTTGCATGTTCTGGGAATCTGGAAAATACTGCAGGAATCCTTTATGGGTGGTGCGCATAGTTTTCTTATCCCACTGGGATGTTACCTGCTTGCTCGGACCCGCACTAAGCAGGCCTGCTCTCTTTGGGATGGGTAGGGTAGGGGTCCAGCTTCAGGACTAGGCCTCCTATGTGCCAGAATAATAAAAAGCAGCATTTGAGAGCAGCAATGCATCTGTTCAGAAATGTGGATTCTGTTGCATCACCATCAGGCTTCAAACCTCAAAGGAACCATTTATCCCATCGCCAGAGGCACCGGCGTGCCAGTAGGACCGACTTTCCACTAGAGGGTTGTAGTGCTGTACGGAAACAAATGCGGTTACTGTGGCAGGAATATTGCATGTACTCCAGGCCTTTGTCAGCAGATCAAAAGCATCCTGCGACAGCCCAGCTTCCAGCAGCCTCTGCAGTCTCTGATGTACACAGCCTGCACTCTGTGAGAGGGCTGGTGCCTGAGCAGCCTGCTTCCCTGCCTTCCCTGGAAAGCCTCTAGCATTCTCATGACTCAGCACCTACTGTACATATATATATATACACATATACACACACACACAGATATAGTAAGTAAACACACTGTATCTATGCGATACACACACAGACAATATGTGTATGCATGTACCTGGGGTTTTATGCATGAGCAAAACCCACAGCCGGGCAACAGAGTGAACAGGACTACTAGCAGTATTGGTGCAATCAGCAGGATGGGAAAGCAATAGCTGTTCACATACAGCCCCCATGCCAGGCCAGGCGCTGCTGTGCTGTGCACTGCACCAAACACGGGTGCTGGCCCCGGAGCTTGCAAACCAGCCTTGAACAGGACATGTCAGAGAGGACTGACACTTCTTCCACCAGCTATGTCCTCACATCCATCACAGCTCAGTAGGTCCAAGTAGGTTTATGTATATGTGACCCCACTATTCACCTGCACATCTTTCACAGTAGCTGTGTATTTTTGCATATGGATTTATAAAGTCATAGAATCATAGAATGGTTTGGGTTCGAAAGGACCTTTAAAGGTCATCTAGTTCCAACCCCCCTGCAAGGAGCCTACGTTTGAAGCTTTCTGAGTAGCTGGTGTGCAAAGTTATGGTAACTACTGACAAGATCAGGGTTGGTTTACTGCCAAAACTGAAAACTGGAGGTGTTCAACACAGCAGGGAAAGCCCGCAAACCACTGACACTGCCTGGCTTTTGAAGGAAGGGTGGGAAGGTAAATGCAACCACAGGGCGTGCCTGTAACATGATGTCCTGGTTTTGGCTGGGATAGAGTTGATTTTCTTCCTAGTATCTGGTGCAATGCTGTGTTTTGGCTTCAGTCTGAGAACAGCGCTGATAACACACCAATGTTTTAGCTGTTGCTCAGTAGCACTTAATCCTGATCAAGGACTTTTCAGTCTCATGCTCTGCCAGTGAGGAGGAGCACAAGAAGCTGGGAGGAAGCAGAGGACACCTGACCCAAACTGTCCAAAGAGGTACTCCATACCACAGCACTTCATGCCCAGTATAGAAACTGGGTGGAGTTACCCCGAGGGGCAGATTATTGCTCGGGGCAGATTATTTCTCAGGTCAGGCTGGGTATTGGTCAGCAAGTGGTGAGCGCTTGTATTGCGCATCACATGTGGTTTCTTCTTTCTATAATAATAATAATAAAAAATCATACCTATACTATAATATATAATAGAAGTAAATATTATTCTATCATTATTTTATTTCTATTATCAAACTCTTCTTATCTCAGCCCACAGGTTTTTACATTGTTCCAATTCTCCCTCCCATCCCACTGGGGAGTAGAGGTGAGTGAGCTGGTAGCTGAGTGGTACTTAGTTGCAGGCTGGGCTTAAACCAGCACAGTGGGATGATCACAGAGAATTTACATAGTGTACCACCCGTTCGTCTGATACTATTACCTTTTCCATATATAGCTAGATGGAAAATGGGTTTTGCCTACATTTTCATCTCTTTTGTTATTAGAAGGGCTTTGAGGAAGTAAGTAGGAGATACTCTTGTATCTTGGGTTTAGCAGTAGCAGTCAATTTTTTCTCCTTCTTAGTAGCTGGTGCAGCATTGTGTTTTGACTTTCGGCCTGGGAACAGTGCTGATAATACCGTTGGTTTTAGTTGTTGCTAAGTCATGTTTACTCTGACCAAGGACTTTGTGAGCCTCATGCTCTGCCAGGGAGGAGGGGAAGCCAGGAGGAAGCAGAGACAGGACACCTGACCCAAGCTAGCCAAGAGGTATTCCATACCACAGCACGTCATGCCCAGGGAGTTACCCAGAAGGGCATGGGCTCTCTTTCTGGGGTCGAACTCATTTTGGCGAGTGGTATCATATTCTCTTCCCTTGTTATTTTCTCTTATCATTATTATTATTGGTGGTAGCAGCAGTGGTTTGTGTTATCCCTTAGTTACTGGACTGTTCTCAACCCATGGGAGTCACATTCTTTCGATTTTCCTCCCCATCAGAGAGAAGTCAAGTGAGCTACTTCGTGCTATAGAGGACAAAAAGTCACCAGGGAGACTCATCCAGCTGGGGAGACCTATAAGGTGGGCACAAAGGGTTGGGACAGTCAAATCCACAACTGATGGTCTCCATAACCAAGTCTCAGACCTCAGGAAGACCAGGCTGGCTGGACACCAGGGACTATGGAGCTGTGAATGAACCATCTCCTCCTCTGAACCAGCTAACAGCGGTGTCGGCGTGACATTGCTGATACCAGCAATGGGGAAGAGCTCTGTAACTCCAGGACACAGGGGCTACCCCTCTCCTCCTGAGGTGCTGCCCTCCCACAGTGGGGTGACCCCATGGGGCAGACGGGTCGTGGGTCACCACCAAGGATGGAAGGCTGCTGATGAGCTGTGGAGAGAAAGGATGTCAGAGAAACATGATGAGAAGCAGGGTTTGGAGTGTGTTACAGTCATTTGAGAAGGAGGGGAGGGAAGGAACCTAGGCACTGTACCTGGGAATAAGGTGTCTCGGCAGCTATAAGGTTAGGAGGTTAGAGTGCATTTTTTAAATTAGCTGTTTTAACCAGTGAGAACATTTATTAACCAGTCATCATGCAATAAATATGTTTATTATTAATATTTCACATCTAAAATCCCTGTAGAAGATTGAAAAAGCCCTTGTATGTTATTTTGGCAGTGTGAATGGCGCAGAGGAGAGCGGCTGCGCTCAAGTGCCTCTGCCCCATCAGGCAGCAACAAAAGGCGCCAGGCTTGCAGTGGCACAAAGGCAGGCAGCTTTCTGTGTCAACAGCTCTGCAAACCCTCTTCTAGCAGAGCGAGGAGTCTCTGTCTCTGTCCCTCCCAAAGGAGTCATAAAATACAGCTTTATCCACCCTGCATGCAGCAATCAGACAGGCTTAAAAGCTTAAGCACTCATAGGGTAGCAATGCTTAGAAAGATTGCACCGGCCTGTTTGCCTGCCTCGGTCCTCTTCTCTAATCCAGTCGCTCCTCGGTATGGACTTGTAGGGACACATTGTTAGAGACAGAGGCAGAACACTGAACTTGCTCATAGAGAGGGAGCTGTTAAACTTGTGTCTATGCAGGGCTGCAATGAGCCTGGTGCTGCTGCTCTCACTCCGCTTACCAGCCAGCTGCTGGGTTGTGGAGCACACAGATCATGCACCAGGCATAGAAGATGGGAGCAAACAGATTTCTTCCTTTTATAGTTTTATTAAACAAAGCCAAGCAAATCAAATCCAACCCCTCTGTCGATACTCCAGCTTCTCATTTACTCAAGACCCCTTTCCACATCTCTGGAAGAACAAAAAGGCTGGGATCAGTGTCAAGAGCATTACACACATGTATATTTATCAAGGAAGACCAGACAGAGGTCAGTTTGCTGCCCTGCAGCAGCAGAATCTCGGTCACCAAGTGGGAGGTGAAGGGTAGGTGAAGAGGCTGGTCCATGCCTTTACTGGGCCAAGGTGTGTGGGATGCTGGCAGAAGGCTCTGATTGTGCATGAGGATAACTGCAGAAGCCATTGGTCAGGAACAACACTGAGGGGCTCCTGGGTCTTGAAGCAAAAGCTAAGTACAACACAATTACAAAGCAAGCATACAATGTCCCTTCCAGTCATGCAATCAGCTCAAAAACTGCAGTTTAGAGAAAAAAAATCCAAAGAATTAACTGGAAGATGTTACCATTCTGTGGGCATGCTGAGTGCTCACGATAAATCTTTTCCTGAAGGAAAAAGCAAGGTTAAATCAAGCTACAAAGCCCATCAAGCATGAGATTTACAGCAATCTAAAAGGGTTATGGGTTCATTTCTTAAACAGTTGAATTATGGCTGCTTCTGGGTATCAATACATTAAGCATGCTGACCCCCTCAGTGCTATGGGGAGCTAGGGTATGAGCAACAATGGAGAGATCGCGCTGGTTATGGTTTTTATGTGCACTTCAAAGTCACTTCCGAAAAAGAAGATGAGATAGTAGTTGAGTATTCCAGCCACGGACATGAGGAACAGGAACAAAATGATGCGCTTTCCAAACAGGTGACCGGGAGTGCTGAGGAGACAGAACGGGGAAAAAGCCATTTGACTTTAATGCATGTCACCTCACACAAGAAGTCCTCAGACTTTGGACTCTGTTGTTGAGACCTGCTGAAAGACCTTGTGGCTGAGATAAATTGGGCAAATTTCCTCTCTCTCTGTTATTTCAAGGCAGTTGCAAGGCCTTCAATGCCATTTTCTGCATCCATTTGGGTCTGGATCTGGCGTCCTGTGCTCAGCATAGGCTACTGCTTACAAAAGGGGCCATTCAGAGGGACTTGTATGTCTTCTCTGCCAACACAGCCTGTGGGACAATCTTATTTCTGCATGTGTGTAATGAGCTTTTGTGATATGAAAGGATGATTTTGTGCAAATAGCGGCACAAACACACAAACACATGTGTTCACAGAGGTGTGAGCAGGAGCCGCTGAAGCAGTCGCTCTGTTCCTGCAGCTCCCCTCACCCCAGAGCCACAGCACCTCCCATGTCTCCCACAGCTCCTTCCAGAAGATGTGGGCTTTTCTTTGCCATCCCATGCAAGCAGCCATTGCAGGCAGCACCATGAGCCAGCAGCTGTGCCTGTGGAAGTGGCAGCATCCAGCTGTACTGCTGCTACATCCCCAATTTCATGAAGAGGCTCTGCAAGTCCTTACCTCTGAGTCCTCTCCCCCAGGTAGCCCACAAAGTACTTCTGCCTCACAAACAGGTACATCAGGCCGGCAAAGGCGGCAGGAGCTGGGTAAAGGGTAAGACAAGATGTTACAAACACCAGCCCAGGTCTCACTGTACGTACTGTTCCCAACTGCTGCCTGCGCTGGACCGGGAAGCTGGAACCTGCAGCCCTGGGTTATGGGATGAGTGTTGAAACCAGGATGGAGACCTGTGCATGGGAAACAGAGCACTTGCCTGCCCCTTGCTCCAGCTTTTCTACAGACTGTGTGGGTACAATCCTGCCCACAGCTATGCCCACTGCACAGCACACACTCATCCCCATTGGAAACACAGTGTGGCCATGTCAGGTTCAGGAAGGAGGGTGTTGGCTCAGGCACTGTCTTTACCAGAAGTAAAAGGCAGCTGATACATGCACTTCTCTAGGAGCAGGTGGAGGACTATGCTTTGGTCCAGTATTCATTTGTTGTTCACATAAATAAGGGCTTTCTCCTCAGTTATAATTTTCCCCACACTTGCAGGCAAAACACTCTTTTTCTGGTCAGGAACTCCCCTTTTCCAAAAATAATAGCCACGGACCACAGAAAAGTACTCATCTTAACCTCAGGCAAACTCAAATTGCACTGAAGGGGATCATAGAAATGCAGGTAAATATTCCTGGGCTGCCCTCAGCACTGGGAAGGGCTGCAGCTCTGGCAATGTAATCAAACGAGCCCGTTTCTAGTCCTGAGGGTGAATAATGTGGCATCCAGCATCCAAGTACTAAACTGTTCACCCAGAACAGAGGGATCTTATCTGCAATACCTATATGGGAAATGCCCCTGGCCCGAACTGTCCTGAATCACATCTGGGAACATGTCTGTTGGCATAAACTGTGCCAGAAGGGTGCAGGACGGGAATCGCCTCCAAAGCACTCACCATCCCTTGCTGAAAGCCAGGCAAGGTAGAAGGGAAAAACAATGAGTGTTACCTGGGCTGCAGAGAAGTCCAGCGCACCAGAGCACAGCGAGGAACGTGGGGTATGCATGTCCGCAGTTCTGGCTGGGGAGGGATTTACACAAGAGAAATCAGAACATGGGGAAACAGAAACAAATCCAATGTGTTTCACCAGCAAACTGGATTTGGGCTGCAGTAACTACTGCGGGTGGGCTTTTACCGCCTTTTGTGCCTGAACACAGCTCCGCCTCACCCGCACCTCTGCTTCCCTGTTCCCTTACTTGGATAATGGATGCCTTTGTCCTGCCTGGTGAGGAAAACAAACCACCCCGCGCACATGCCTGGCACCTGGGAAAGCTTTCCTCCTCTAACCTGTTTGATCAAGGCACGTGTATAATAGATGCTGTGTGCTTTACTGGCCTGGAAAATCCTTGTAATTAAGTCACATTAATCATGTTACTGGCATTGAAAGCTGCATGAAACCAACAAAAGGAAAATCACACTGCAAATAGGAGTGTCTCATAGAGTTAACACATGTCTTTGCAGGGGAACAGGAATGATTTCTAGCTGCCTCCTTTGGCTGGGAGTGCTTTCTGAGAGGGTAGCGCTTTGCCCTGGGCAGAGGCTGGACACCTGTGAAGGGCAGGACTTGGACATCCCATTTAGTTTCAAACACATCGTCAGTACTTCACAAATAATAAAAAGTGGTTTATGTTTTCTCTTCTGGGTTGGAATTATCTTTCCTCTTCTCTCCCTGGAGGGATGTCAAAGACAAGAGGTACAAAGCAAAGAGCCACATGCCAAGGGAGCTGCTGTGGACCAAGGGGTTTGTATGAGCTCTGCCACCAACCTGCTCCTCAGTGAGTTGGTGTCTTGCCAGCTCTTTCCTTTAGAGCCACAGTGCCCCAGGACACTGGCTGCATTTGCATCATCACCATTCCAGCATTAGCTACTGCTGGGTGAGATGGTTCCCAAATGAGGGATGTTGTACTCAAAGGGCTGAAAGTCCAGCATAAACACAGCACAGCATTCAGAAGGGAGATGGGTTCACCAGCAAACATATTAGAGAACTACAGGTCTGAACACTGCTGCAATGCACACAGCAAGGGAATGCAGATGAATCCTTCATTTGAGGGCATTGGGAGTTCACCTTTTGACTCCAAAAGGGTTTGTTTTAAACCCTAATGAAGAGAGAGACAGACCACTCTCTTCCCCCACTGGCTCCTCAGGGCTTGCCTACTCACTTGGCAGTGTAGACGCGATCAAAGGCAGAGGATCCTGATCGCTGGAACGCCTTGCTATTGCAGTATTTGCTTTCATGCTCCACTTTGCTCGCAAAAAAAGCTGTTAAAGAACCACAGATTATTCTGAGATGTTATTTCGAGATATTGCAGAAGCTGGTCTTTCTGGCTTCAGCTCTGTTCTCAAGAACAACCAGGGTGAATGGCAGGAGAGGACATGGGTGTATGGAGGTGCAGGATGTGGCCAGCATCCTCACTCGGTCACCAAGGTATAATCAAACCATCTGTGCAAGCGTACAGTGCAGCGCGACCTCAGACATCCCCACATGTCTGTATGTGACTGGTAGCAGGGTCTTAACCCTGAGCCCTGCTTCATCCCTGCACTGCACTTCTGGCAGCCTGCACCTCTGCTGCAGTACAGCCCCTGACTCGGCCCTTTGGGCCCCTATGGGAAAAAAGCTTTCCAGCCAGAGCTGCCAACCCCAACTCTCACTCTCTAATGAATCAAAGAGACAAGGGAATTTACTCCTTCAACAATACCCAGGGATGTCCTGCAGCTCTGGCTCATTTTCCAGAAAAGCCCATTGAGAACCTGGTCCTCATGCCTGATCTCTATGTGACCATTCTGTGCGTATCTCCCTTTTAAACAACAGTGTTGTGTCAGGGTGTTAGCTGCTGCAAAACTGCAGCACTTGAAGATAATGTATCATGCGCTTGACTAACACGTTTTATCTGATGACACTAAGCCAGAGACCATCCATCATGTGTCTAAATACACCAGAGAGAGAGCCCTGGCAGGCTACCAGCTGCAAGCTTTGTATTGTTGTGCATCCCATCACAGTGTACCCAAAGCACTTCATGGTTTAGAATATTAGGCATATACATATATATAAAAACATAACATGCCAGGAAAGATTATTATAACAATAGAAGTGTACACTGATATGCTGCAGGATTTCATCCCTGGAATCTGAAGATTTACCTCACTTTTCCCCTTACTGATGCTGTAGGTAGGTATTTTGTGTGTTCATTGCCTTCACTAAAAGCGACTGAGTGCTTTCCAAGATTGAGTGATTCCCTGAGTATGCACAGTCTTTCTCCAGGAAAACTTGCAGTGGTTTAATCCAGTGTCCCCATGTGAGCCAGGCTGCAGACCCTCTCACTGACACCAGCACAGTGCCTGGAGTACCTGGCCCTGGAGGACCCAGAGCAGACACTGTCCAGTGGCACAGCCACTGAGCTCTCAGCATCTTCATCCACTCATGACCTAAGCCTTTGGCATGGGGTTATTAACCTGCCTACAGGGCTGAAGCACTACAAAGGGCCAGAGCAGAGCTGACAGATCACATCCAGGAGTGGTCCCTGCTGCAGGGCTGTGCTCCCATCTCAGCAATGTTGGGCTCCTGTTAACCTGGCATTGGGGAAGCAGGAGGCTACAGTGTAAAGCAGCTTGCAACCCCATGCTTATGTTTCCTACTCTTCACTCTGAACCTGAAGACAAGAGGGTGATTTCCCAGGTGAAATGACATGGGTAAACAGAGCAGGGCTGGAACTGAGGAGTTTAATTCAGCTCAGCTACACCAGGAGATGATGCCGTGAAGCTCCAAAGCTGCTCAGGCTGCCCTGAGCCTCAGCCACTGCAGTCCCACTCCGGTGAAGTTAATGTTCAAGAATTCAGTCCAAGCCTGGCTGTTTCACAAGTTCATGCCAATAGAAACCATCCACTGATGCTTCAACCTAGTGAGTGCCCGATCTGCTTAGTGATGACCACTGATTTACCCCAAAAGCTTCTGAATTGCAACATCCCTCTGATGCAAGAACAAAACCGAAAGCTGCGTGTGAGAATCAGCAGCATCCAGCCTCACAAGTCATTCTGTAGGATCTGGAGATTCCCAATATGAGTAAGATGACAGTAAGTGGACGTCAGACTGGGGCAGCACCACAACCCACATCTAGCTTTCACCCAAACTGTTTTCTGATCTTGTACCAGATGCAGAAAAGCACATAAACCTGAATTTACATGGTGCTGACTTCGTGTACTTAAAGACAGTCAAGCAGATGCTCAAGCTCTTTGCTGAACCAAAGCTACAGCAAGAGTTCAGTACAAATGATATCTCTTGACAAGCATGTATGCCACCTTAGTTATTACATTTGTTGCAGGACTTCCTGTCAGTCCAGTCTTTCTAGACAGAAAGCCTGGGAAGAGGAAATCAGATGATGCAGGGTCTGAAATCATGGTTCAGAGCTTTGTTCCACTCGTGCTTGGCACACTAAGTCCTCTGCCAAGTGTTGCACTGCCCGCTTGCAGCAGTGGGGTCAATAATCTCACAGGCAGATTTCATTAGATGAAAGTGTGTGGCAGGCTGGAAGGCAAATGCCCATGCTTCAGAGTGAGAGGGGAAAAACACGGTATATAAAGTCCTTTGGTTAAATAGCAAGAAATGTGCATTTGGCACTTACTATGGTATGCGCTCTGATCCCACCATGCTGTATTCAGGCAATGTCACACACTGTGCATTTACCAGAAACCAGCACTGGGTTAAACCATGTGGTATTTAGTGCCTATGTCGAAACCCAACCAGTCCACATCACTTTTTTGGTTTTGCTTTCTGGCACAGAGGCTTATGTAGAGGCTCCCACCACTTCCCCTCTCTGCAGCAGCCCAAGAACAGCCCATTTACTAGGATTGAACTATGTTGAGTTTGCACTGGTTGGGAATCTCCCATCCCTACCAAGAAGCCTTCACAGAAGATTGCTTGCATATGCATCAACCCCTCACCTCACTGCTGGCTCTCCTTGAACCTGGGCCATCTCAGCGTCCCTGGGGTAAAACACACTCCCTTCTCTGTATTCTGGGCAGAATTTCGTGCTAAATTGCTTAAGGACTTGCAAGAGATGATGATAAAATTAAAATGAGAAGAGAAACTTGTTGTTTTATTTAAAAGGTCCTGAAGAATGGTAGGGACTATAGACGTCTGAATAAGAGCTGAAAAAAAAGAACTTCTCCATTACAGGAAATATGCATTGTTCTTGGGACTGCAGTTAATTGAGATTAGTTGGACTGCAGGACCTGGAGATGCAGGAAAACAGTAGAGTTGCCTGCTCACAAATAACCCTAACAGTCTTCGGATGAGATGGTGCAATTGTGACCCCTTCGTGCAGCTCTGTGTGAAGGTCTGACCCATCACAGACCACCGGAGCCCCAGCCCCTCACCATGGTGGCAAGGCTCTGACTGGTGGGCAGCTCTGCCTGCCCACATTAGGGACTTCAGCCAGGGAAAGAAGCCTCACTCATCAAATTTAAATGTATGTTGTCACAGAGTACCCCAGCATGTTAGCCCTTTCACTAGCTGACATCTGTATAACAAACTCACTCCAGAATATCATGGACTAGGACCATGCAACTGCCAAGGTACAGCAACAACAGCATGGAAAATTACATGTTTAGAAAATTGTTTCATTTCTAAAGCCAAAGTCATGTGTAAGCACACACAGTTATAACCAGAGATTGTCTATCCAAATTTCAGGTCAGCATACATCATCCTGAACTCTTCTCACGTCCCCTTTCACCCTTAAGCAAATCCTTATTTTTGTCTTACCATTCTGGACAACACTTATCAAGGTGACAATGGCGAGGAGGACAACGCTTCCCAGGGTTTCCTGGTCCATTTTGCCTGTGAGTGCCAGGGAGGACGCTGCAGTCTCCTTGGCAGCCCAGCCCTACAAGCACAGAAGGAGGAAGTGAAGGTCTTTCTTAACTTGAATCATTAACACTTCCTGTGGCTTCACAGGAGAGTGGCAGCACTTCACCCCGCACTCAGGTGCCTGTCAGAGAAGCAGAGCCACAGGCTCACTCGCTTGTCATACACAGATGAAGCCCAGAGAAGCAAGAGGTTAGGTGTCTGTGATCTAAGAGGATATATAATGTAGGAATATATCTAAATCAGTAACTCCTTGGAAGACTATGACAGCTGCCAGCATTCAGCGGGCTCAGGCTTCACAGCTGTACCCCAGTTTTAGTAGTCAACCCCCAATACGGCTGAACATAACTGCTACATAATGTTCATGCCTCAGCTTTGACCCTGTGACAGCAGAGAAGCACAGGCTGCAGTGCCGGACATCTGCAGAAAGTCCCAGAGCTTCTGTCAGATCAGTGGAAAGCATCCTCATCCAAAGTGCACATCACTCACTGCCCCTAACTGCTCTGCTCCCTTTTGCCCATATTCTGATAGGGAAAAGCCTTCAAGAAATTCTTGCCTTTAGTGGGGATTTAACACTAATTCAAGTAGTATTTTCACCAGACTGAGCCCTGGACAATTTCTGCCCCGTCTTTCTGTTTCTACTCCATCACATGGTACCCGGAAGGTCTGAGTGCCCCCTAGCATCCAGACCATGACAGTATAACTGGTGACCTCTCTGGATGGGACACACTCCATGGGAGTTCCCAGCAGGAGCCAAGCTGCAAAATCCACCTTGTTCAGCAGGGACACATTTATCTAAAGCTCTTATCCAGTCTCTCTATCATGCGAATTATTATCATCTGCATTATTAGATATGGAAAACACTGAGGTCCTCTGGGCACAAGCAAATACAAAGAAACATGCTGTCTGAGAGGCAGGTGATTAATGTTGTGAGTTCTGACTTACTGTTAACTCAATAGGAAAAAATTGTCCTTCTGGGAGAACCTTCCATACAGTCCATCCAGACACAGCTGTGTGAGGAGCAAGGCCATAAATGTATCAAGGTTTAGATTTGGCCTGGTTTTAACACTTGGCAAATTTGCTTTAGGAAAAGAAAACACAAACCAACCAACAGAAGAACAAACCCAAGAACAAAGAGAGAAGCCCAACAGCACTTTGAGAATGTTTTTAGTCTATTTTTCCCACAAAATGGTCTTTTCTTACTTGAGCATCAAAGCTCATGTTTTGAGGTCTACTGAGCACAGGATCATAGCTGGTATTTAAGGATGGTATTTAATGCTAAGCGTCCACTAATCTTCTGAGGAGGAAACTCCGTCACCTAAAAGTGGTTATGGAATTAAATCAAAGGAGGAATATTGTCCAAGCAGAGTCCAGCACTGTGATTGTGAAGAAAGGACCTGTGCATGGACATACAACAGCAGGACTCCCAGTCATCCTCCCACAGCAGGCACTAATCCTTCGCTTTCTTCTAACTGTTTTATAGCCCACAGCTTGCTTTTGATTTACAAGGGACAGTAAAAGCAGATGAGCCCACTCTGAGATCTGCTCCAACTTGCACATACACACTTCCCTGCTTTCAAAGACTTCCCAAAGGTGGCTTCAGTTCAGCAGGACTCTCATGTTAAAGGGATAGGAATAAGGCTGCTAAGGTCTGAAGTCACCATAATGCTAAAAACCCCCATAGGAGGAGTTTATGCCAGCGGATTTCCAAGCTCCCAGCCCACACCCATGTGTCGGCCAGGTCAAGGGCTGAGCTGCCAATGCCTTCATTTCCTCCTCATCCTGCTCTTTGCTTTCCACCTCTTTGCTGCTGCTCAGTGCCTCTCACCATATCCTCACCCCTGCTTTGCACTCCTGCTCTGCCCCTTGCAATTCTTGCCTGTCTCTGGCACCTCTTGGCACTGCAGGACCTGCTGGCAGCACCACTGGAAACCCAGCTCACTACTTCCTCTTGCCAAAGCTCACTCTAAAGTCATCCCTCACATATGAGAGGAGGGGAACAGGGCTTCACCCTTCTCTCTGCAAAAAGAAACATGACATCAACTCCAGGGCTTGCTAAGCTGATCTGGGAGTGTGCAGGGAGAAGACAGCTTTGCCAGAGAGAATCTGTTTGGTATGGCTGCCTGAAAATAATAACTGCAGGGTTTTGTGTTTTTATCACTGTAACATCGCTCCGAGCACTCTGCTTGAGGAAAAGCAGAGGAAATCAAAAAAGTATGAGGGACATGGAAGAAGACGTCCCTTGCCTTTACCACAGCATAGCAATACTTGTTAATAGAGTCTGACAGAGCAGAACCCCCTTGCAGGGGGAACATTGTCATTTCATACTCTCTGGCACTGGAGTAGCTGCAGGATGAAAGGAGGTTCTGGTAATAATTTTGCAAATTGGGGAATTGCCTTGGCAAGGGAGGGCTAAGGTGGGACCAAAATGATTCTGCAAACAGCTTCTGCCACAACTACACATTAAATTGTTCCCTCCGTTGGATGGCTCTTGTGTCTCCTTCTTTTGCAGGATACACTGGGTCAAGTGAAGTTGGCAGCACTGGAAAACCCTGTCCACCTGGGAAAAAGATCAGTGCAAGACACCTCCATCCTATCCCTATTCAAAACAGGGGATTTTCTCAAGTAGGCAAAAAAAAAAGGGTGAGGGACAGACGTGCCTGCACTTGCTGTAACACCCAGTGTGGTCCGTGTTCTCCAGGCACAGGTACTTCAGCAGCTGCTGTCAGACCCCAGCCCTTCTGCTCACTGCATTGCTGTGTGACACCCACATCTTCCTGTCTGAGGGAGATAACCTTGCCACAGTGAGCCGTGAAGCTCATGAAAATGTGCAAAGCCAGCGAGCTTTTCCAGTTGAGCTGCGAGGCTTCCCGCACACTGAATCCCCTCCTCTGGAAATCTTGAGCAGCCAGTCAAAATAATCCTTCTGTAGGTTGCTTTCACACTGAAGGGGAAGGGACTGGGAACACGGATCTGTAAATAAGTGTTGGGATGCTCATCTCTCCTCTCATGCACTCTGCTCGGCACTCGGCTTCAAGGACTCCAGTGAAAGGGCATCTCCTAATAAAATAAAAGCTGCTTCTGTGAAGTTTCTGTGTGTAATTGTCAGGCAACATACAGCTCTCATGCTTTATCATACATGCAACAGGACACAAGCCCTTTGGACTGGTTGGTTAATATTAGCACTGTGCATTGCAAACTTAAAGCACCATGTAACCAGCAAATACATAGTACTTATACACATAGCATATGTGACTACGTGCTGTCACATCAGTCTGCTTCAGCATCCCTTCCAAGGCCTGACAAAACCCTAAGGAGAGCATGAACAGAGCTGGAAATGTGAAGTGCGACACAAAGAAAAGAGCAGTGCTGCAGTGGTTTAAATGCTGTCTTCATTTTGCATGGCCAGGAGAATAACACTGTGGGAGCAGTCACCGTGCTGCCCAGGAAATCCCTCCTTCTCCACATTGCCCAGACTTGACTTCTTCCTTGCTACGTAGGGGACAACATCCTACATTTGTACAAATTCAGCTCAAAACGCAGTGCTTGAAGGCAGAGCCCAAAGTCCCTCAGGGCCCCGGCACAGCCTCCTCCTCATCCTTTGTGTGTCACCCACCACCCTACTCAATAAAGTTTGCCCTTACCGCTGACATCCCTGTGGCTGCGCTTCACCCTTGGGTTCATTTCTGCAGCCCCATGTAACAGAGTTTGTGTGTTTGCCTTCCCCAGAGTGGTTATTTGGGTTTATCTTCATTATAATTCAGTGGGGTGACCCTGGAGAGCTGCTGCAATGGAACAAGACCAGTATGAATCTGAGCCCCCCAATCAGGACGCTGGAAAACAACACGGGCACATTTGGTGTTTCTCTGCCATTGGGAGATTGAAGAATTGAGCAGGGCCAAGACAGACCTTACTGAAGCTTTTTCGGCAATACCACCCCTCTCCTCCCCCCCCGTTTCCCAGGAAGTTATTGATGAGTATGGTTTGTGCAGTGTCCAGCGAGTGGCAAAGCCACCTCGTGGGGATTTCCTCTCTGTCATCCTTCCCTCCCTCGCTCCCAAGCAGCAGGTTCTCAGCAGCCACTGTGATACCATGAGGTGTCACCGTGGTGACAGCTACCAGACAGCCCAGGGAACAACCACCCTGTCACGGGAGGAGAACCACAGTCACAGGAGAGCTAAGGCTGGAAACGACCTCTGGATGTCATCTCGTCCAACCCCACTGCTCAAGCAGAGCCACCTACAGCAAGCTGCACAGGTATTGATACACATTGATAAGGTCTCCCTGAGCCTTCTCCAGGCTGAAAAGTCCCAGCTCTCTCAGCCTTCTTTCACAGGAGATGTTCCAGTCCCTTCGTCATCTCCACAGCCCTTCGCTAGAGCATTACCAGTAGTCTGTGTCTCTTCTGTACTGGAGAACCCAGAACCGGCCTCATCAGTGCTGAACAGAGGGGAAGGATCCCCTCCCCAGCCTGCTGGCAGTGCTTAGTGTGATGCAGCCCAGGACACCATTCGCTGCATTTGCCACAAAGGCCCATTGTTGGCTCATGTTCAACTTTCTGCCAAGCTGCTTTCCAGCTGAGAGCACCCAGCATGTACTGGTGCATGGGGTTTGTCCCCAGCTGCAGGACCTTGCACTTCTTGTTGAACTTCATGAGGAACCTGTCAGCCCATTTCTCCAATCCATCAAGGTCTCTCTGGATGGCAGCGTGACTCTTTGGTGTATCAGCCACTCCTCTGAGTTCGGTGTTGTCTGCAAACTTGCTGAGGATACACTCTTGCCCCATCATCCGCATCATTAATGGAGATGTTAAGCAGCTTTGATCCCTGGCTACACCACTAGTTTACTGGCCTCCAACTACATCTAGGCACTGATGACCACCCTCTGGGCCCAACTGTTCAGCCAGTCTTCAATGCACCTCACCATCATCTTATCCAACCCATACATACACAGCTTCTCTGTGAGGATCTTACAAGAGACAGTGTCAAATGCCTTACTGAAGTAGACAATATCCACTGCCATCTTATCAGCTACCTGGCCAACCACTTCATCATGGAAGTTTATCCAGTTGGTAGAG